CCACCTTAGAGTATTTCCAAGAGACTCTTTAAACCAAAGATGCTCTCTATTTTAAAGAACTAATCCTTAAAATTATGCTTCAAAAGACTCTTTAAATTAACGTGTAATGGGGCAAGAATTGATATTAGGATGTGTTTTTTTGATGTTCTACTTGTATGTTTTAATGATGTTGGTATGCCTAATGAAGAATGATATATAAGAAGTTTGATTGTCCTCTTGGCAGCTAACATGGACCCTTATGCGGTCCTCACTTGCAGGACTCAGGAGAAGAAAAGTAGTGTCGCATCAGGTGCATTTTCTTGACGTACATCATATATTTACCAAGATACTAATAAAGTTAAAAACTTGCACTTAATTTCCTCTTTCATGCTGCAAATTTCAACGTTTAAATTATCACGAGGATTGATAATAACGTTTTACGAAAATGTTTTTGTTCTGTGTACTTGAGTGAATTTTTTTCCCTAGTAGTTAAGTCTTCAATTTGTTTATAAGCAGGTAAAGGAACTAACCCTGAATGGAATGAAACATTCCTGTTCACCATCTCTGACGGAGTCGTGGAATTGAAAATCAAAATAATGGATAAAGATAATCTCAGTGAAGATGATTTTGTTGGAGAAGCAATGTGAGTAATCCTTTCTCATTTATGTATAAAAATGTCAAATTTTGTTTTACAAACGAGAAAAACCTCTCCTAGTTTGGTTTTGCTATTTACTTGAGTATATTACAGTTTTGATAAATTTCAGTTTGGAAGACTGCTTATAAACGTTTGACATTCAAGCTTAGAGTAATTTTCTTTCCTTGGTTATGTAGGATTCCTTTAGGGCCGGTATTGGCTGAAGGTAACATTCCGCCAACTATGTACAATGTTGTCAAGAATGAGAATTACTGTGGAGAGATTAGAGTTGGTCTCGTGTTTAATCCACACCAGGTTTATTACAGCCCTGCTCTGATAATTTGCTTCTCATTGTTTCATGCTGCTAACAGAACCTAGAGATGACAACAAGAGCCGGCTCGTCTAGAGAGACGGGCAGGGTCTGGCTCTCCAAGCCTATGTGGCCTTTTTTTTTTTTTTAAGAAAATTAATCAAAAAGAATTAAACAAACAATTTGTGTCATGGTGGCCCGCCCAGGCTGTGCATGACCTTGTATATTTTGGAGGCTGCGCCTCGGGGTGGCTCATATCTTGCCTCACCAAAGGTTTCCAACCTGATTTACACCTTCCATAAAAGATTATAAAGAGTCCATACGGGAAATACGTTCCCGTAACTGGGGTGTTGTCCTAATATCCTAGTTTAGAATGGTTATGCTTAATTTTTTCTTACAAGGATCTCACTTAATTTTTGTCCTTGCTGTCAAATTAAAATGCTTTTACACGTTGATTAATTTCAATTAATTTTAATTTTGCAAGTATTATTATCCTTGTTACCACGTTTTGCTCTTCCCTTCTTCTGTCAATAGCTTTATATGTGATTCAACTTGACATGGCAAAGATAACCGGATAGGTTTAATCCACACATTTTCATTAGTTACTCTCTTCAAAATTTGCTTCTCCCGAATAAGAACGCTCCTCTTTATGATAAACAATCTATTTTGCAAGTTCGTAATTGTGGATAGTTCTTGCAAAGGATTGGACTAGACGTAATACTCGAATTATTCTTGATGTAGTACGTGTAGATTATTCATGTACATAAATTGCAGAGCATACTTTTTACCGACAAAGGCAAATAGCATAAAAAAAGTGGGCTCTTACTGGGAAAATATTTTTTATTGGCAGCAAAGCAGAGACCGGGGATATTCTGAAGAGGAGACCTTTGGTGGATGGAAAGAATCGGTCATGGACTAATTTTATATTTATGTTTATCCATTAGCATTTCTTGATTTGGAACTGTTTTTGTAAGATTTTATGGCTACAAATGTTTGTGTTTACATTATGTTTGGGATTTTGGATTTGATCCAATATGCTTGGAAACATGTCTATTCCTTTGTTGTCTCTTCTAGTTTTGAAAGTTACAAAGCAGGCCCTAGTTTGTGTGGAGGAAGGCCGAGCTATGAAGACAACTTCCTTCTTGAAGTTGGACGAAAGAGCTTGGCTAACCTAAACAGAATGCAACATGACCCACGAAGGTAAATTGCTCGACGTTAGTGTATTGCCTTTTCAGTAGGCCATGACGACTAACAAGAATCTAGGGAGCACACGCTAAATTGGATGTGCACCTCAAGTTCAAAGGATACGAAGTTTCGAGTGTGTGACAGATAACATACTCTGTCTATAGACCTCCATTAATTCTATTCTCCGTATTGCAAATCACTCAGATTACTAAACCTTGCTTGAATTTGCATAGAGGAATGGCAACTAACTTGACAATTACAGTCGAACCTATCATTCCAGACGTTCGGTGGCTTGAGCTCACTAACTGACTGTTTCCGGAATTTTCCAAGATTTTTTGGTTCACGAAGTTAACACGATATGCCCAACAGAACCCAAGGACAAATAACTCATTTCACTTTCGGATATGGATCGTGAAAATTGGCATTTCATTATGCTCTTTCTATAGCTAACACCAAAATAAGAACTTCCTAAAATCCTTGTAGGTTTAGGAATTTTGTTGCTTGAGACATGCTATGTTGATCTCAATTTTTGCACCTCCGATGTGGCCAGTAGATCTCAAGCTCACTTGCGTCTACGTAAGCTCCTTTCCTACACAATTAGACAAAATGTTAGTTATCGGTGGCCTTCTTCGGTGGTGGGGGATGACCACGAGTACTCCAACGATCAATTCAGTCTTCCAAAAGAAATACATGTATGAGTGTGGGACGAGTTTTAAGGCGCAAGCCACAAAAGTGTTTGAATACCGAAAATATATATAAGTATAGAGATGAGAGCAATTTTACAATATTTCATAGTATTGCATTACCCCCTGAGTTGGTGTGAGTTGTGAACTTTTATAGTGGAGTTGTTAGAGTGGTAGCCGTTGGATGTAAAAAGATGTGGCTTCATACTAACAGTCGAAGTGTCCCATCATAGGTCATTACACCAAACGTCCTAGGCCCGGCAGCATTTAATGTTTGATGGAAAAGTACCCGCTCTAGGGCTTAGGCTTGAGTACTTAGGATATAGGTTGACGGACTTGACATTCGGTTGCTACAAGAGGTCACATCAATCACTTTTATAAGATCTGTATAGAAGATCTATTGAGAGAAGGGGTTTGTAAGAGATGCTCCTCTTTGGCGAGGTCACCACTTCGACCTCATATGTTGTGCTTCATATCCACTTTGGCAATGTGGGCTTTGGCCTCGTACGTTGTGCTTCGACGAAGCAATGAATTGCACCCCTGAGTGACTTGCAGTATGAGGCACCTCGATTGAGGCATGTTCGTTTCGTCATCTTTGATGACGTGGAGTGTGGGCCTTTGGTTGAGCTTCTGATTAGTTGTCATGTAGACTGCCTCATGAGCTTCGTCTTGAGTTTCGGTGAGGAGACGTAACATTAGTCCCCCAAGGTTATGTATGATTATTTATGTCATGCGTAGACATCATGCTTAAGAAGTAATATTCCGACGCGTCTTTGTTGGAGTGAATGTTCTACCTGTCATGGTTATTTTTGACACAACACACCAAAACTCACAGAGTTATCACTATATGCCAATAGAATTCAAGGACAACATAACTCATTTCACTTTCTCAATTTCGGATATGGATCGTGAAAATTGACATTTCATTATGCTCTTTCTATAGCTGACACCAAAATGAGAACTTCCTAAAATCCTTGTGGGTTAAGGAATTTTGTTGCTTGACACACATTAAATTTTGAATTTAGAGCATGTTTGAGCCTCATTTTTTGTATAAAATACATTTTGAAATAGTAGATAGAAAATTTAGAGTTAAAAATTAAGGAAAGATTTTTGAATTGCGTGTAATATTATTTTATTGAAAAATGTATAGTTAAAAAGAAAATAGAGAAAAATGTACTTTAAAAAAAATGAGCTAGAAAAAACATTTTGAAGAATCCTTGGTTTGTTCTACTACTGGCACCTTCTAGTGATTTAATCGGTCACTCTGAGGTAAAGACACCTGTTCAAGAATGAATTACTTAACAGCCAAATAACAGATTAAGCATGGAAAATTTTAGTCTTATAACTAGAGATTTTACTTTGCTTGTTTGTGTTCAGACAATGATTTATTATACATTTTCTTCATAAAAGTTTAAGTGTAGATGTATACATTTTGTTCATAAAGTTTAAGTGTAGATGTTTATTGAGTTAAATGTTTTATTAGCTATTGAACTTGTATATTCATTACACTTTATTCATTGAATTTTAAAATGCATTCGAGTGGCCATTGGATTTTAACACATTGTACTCCATCATTTATTCACCATGTTGCATAAGTTATTGAACTTTAAAATACTTCTGAGTGATCATTGAATTTAACACGTTGCACTCTATCACTCACTTACTATGTCTCATTAGTGACCGAAATTATACATCTGTCACGCTTTACTCGTTGAACTTTAAAATGATTTCAAGTTGTCAATGAACTTCATAATGCTTTTGAGTAAAATAGATTTTCTACTATATACGACCTAGATCAAAAAATAAAATAAAATAAATATCAACTAGATAGTGAGACTCTCAATCTAAGACGATAATATCGATATTGCTCAAGAAAGTATAATTTCTCTAGTTGTCAAAAGAAATATTCAAGGGAAAAGAGGAATGCTAGCTTCAAATTCACATAAATATTAATTTAGATCATAATCTTCTTTACGTCGACAAAATAAAATAGAGAAATTATTTCTTTATTTTGATTGAAATCTTAGGCTCAAATAAAAAGAAAAAATAGAAAATTATATTTCAAACATGCAGTGAAATGTTCGATTTAGAGTTAATAATATTAATCAATACCAACAAAATTTAATTTTTAGAGTTGTCACAAGGCCATTGAAGAGGGAAAAATGGTATTGTCTTTCGTGTATGGTATTTTATACTTTTTCAATTTTTGAATAGTTGAAACATTTAGGGTGTGTTTGGTTTTTGTTTCTTTTTTTTTTTTTCAGTTTTAAATTCATTTTTTTATTTTCTGTTTTGGGGGCTTATTTTAAGATTGTAAAAAACGCGTTTAGTTTATTATTCTGAAAAACTGTTTCTCAAAACAAAAAACTAGAAAACACGTTTGGTTTTAAAATTTTAAAAATAGTTTTAGAAAGATGCTACACGTACACGAGGGTGTACACCCGGGTTTACACTGCGTGGGCCCCCTCCATGTAAGGGAGTGTAAACTCAAGTGTACACCCAGGGTATATAAGTACCATTTTTCGTAGTTTTATGACTTTTTTTCAATTAATTTGATTATTTAGTAAATCATATCTATTTTATGTTAATAGTGATAAAAAATATAAATTTTAAAGTTGGTAAAAAAACATAAAAAAAAGAAAAGGAATCATTGTAAGTATATCTCCAACAATCGCATTGAAATCATCCGTACATAATAAATCATTGTCACTCGTATCATTTATGCACTTACCATAATCATTTATAATAATACTCCAACAAACGTAAATATCAAAATCCAATACATCAATTAAAATAAAACTAGTAGTAAATCTTGAGAATTACAAAGTTCATAATCAATATATGAAAAGAACACAATCCTACATTAGAAGTTCAAAATACTCAACCCGACCAATCAAACAAATCAAAGAAGTTCCAAGATAAGTCCTCTGCTAATTTTTGGCATCATCACAAATGTTATCTTGAAATCTGGATCCTTCAAAACTTTTATTACTTTCATATAAACCTCATTAGACGCTCCTTCCATGTTTTTAAGATGTTCAAAAACTTCATATTTGAATAAGGGTCTAGACTAGTGACTTCACTAGGGGGTACTTGTGAAAATGACCTAGTCAAAGGTCCCTAATTCCACTTTGACTTTTCCAATAGACAATAATCCCAAAATGACCCATTTGCTATAAAAAGACAAAAACACCCTTAAGTGACAAAAACAATTACAAAACATGTTAGAGTTAAAAAGACAATATTACCCTTTTAGTTAAC